AGTTCAATTTGTTATTTAGTAAACAACTAGGCTTTCAGTGCAAAAAATAGTGTAAAAAAGTATTAGATAGTAAAAAGAGAATCCAGTGACATTGGTTTTATTTAATTTATTTTAATTAAGTTCCAGGTTCTGTCCATTCCAGGTTCTATCCAAAGGTAATGACAGGAAAGGAGTAAAACCATGCATCTGCTAAGTAGCAAATACATCATTCATCCCTTTCAGTATTAAAATATGAGTTAAAAACATGAATAAATATCTATATAAACTATATAATTACTTAAATAGATTTATAAAAATAGATTACATATAAATTTATAAATAAAATCCACTAGTAGAGAGAGAAGTAAAAATCTACTGACAATCAACTTTTGAAAAAAACCCTGCAAGATAAAATACAAATAACATTAAAATTATGATTTCCTGTTTGCTTATTTATGTCAGGATTGGTTAATTAAATTATCCTGACTCACATTAGTCCATCCTTTTTACATGCTGTTGCAAATAGAATAGTATAAATAGTTTTATAATAAATAATATAACTTAAGACATTCATCCTTTAAGTTAAACTAGATTACATAGTTATATAGAGTAGCAAGTATTTTATCAATGTTGTTTCTGGCAAAGTGATCCCATAACCACTGACAGGTCACGTTTAGCCAGGTCTCCAGTGCCTTTTCATCCCGGCGTATTAAATTGCTGCTTCAGAGTACATTTCTCTCGTATTCTGCACAATTTGTTCGTATTTCTTTAAAAACAACCAGATGTAGCTCAATGTGTGTGCCAAGTCCACGGGCTGGCCCTGGCTGAGGTGCACCCGCGGCAGGTCCGTGCTCCTGCAGGTGTAAAATGCAGCTCCTTCGCTCAGGGTGGAGTTCAGCTGATTGAGATTGGCGGCGACAACATCGCGGGCAGTCGTGTTACAGATTGTTTCCATGTCGCTCCCCAGGGTTTGCAGGATGTCGTAAATGTGGTGCAGAGCACAGCAGTTTGCATGGAAAGCTGGGCAATCAGGTATTCTCTCCACCATGTCTCTGACTTTGGTCTTATTCAGCAGCTGGGTCTCACCTTGGAGTGCTGGAAAGACACAAGCTTCCTGTGAGGGAGGGAGAGCAGAGGGAAGTTAGTAATCCTTGGTTTCTATTTCTCACTTGGGTACACTGGGGGTTTTTGGTTGTGGTTCAATAGCTGTACCAACACCTACACCCCTTTGATCAAGCAGGTATTGCACGCTGTCTGTGGCTGTCAGTGTGCAGTTCCTCTCCTCATGCCCTGCTTGCCTCGTTTTCAGCTTTTCTAAGTATTGGTTTTTATTCTTTGCTGTGTGGGCAAAATTTCCTTATGCCGGAGATCTGGTTTGGCCTGAGTGTGTTCTCGTCTCTTTTGGCAGAGATGGTTTTAATTTCAGCAGTGAATTCAGAGGAAATGTCAATGTTGATTTTTATCAACACACTCTTGGAAATGCAATCCCAGGAACTGTAATTTGTCTGAGCCATTGACACTTGAGTTCAGTGCACGTTTTACCATCTCCGGGGAGAGGATGGGTGAGCAGGAGTTTTGGCTGAAGTGCTCAAGAACTAGGATCAGATTGAAGAGCAAGGTAATTCTTGCCATGTTTCCAATGATCTCACTGGATTCCTCCAAAAAGATGCCTCCTCCAAGCCTAGCATGACTCTGGAGACTGAGAAGGAGCACTGGAGGCAAAGTCAGCCATTCTGCAGCTGCTCTGGCCATTGCTCCAACTCTGCCCTCAAATAATGCAATATCAGTGCTTTTCTTCTTGCATGGAATACAGAGAAGAGACTATTTTAGCTTCTAACCCAAATATTTCTTTTCTGATGGTCTTTCTAGTCTTTTATAATAACTCAAGAGTTTTCTCCACAGACACAGACACAGCACATGCAAAATGGTACTTACATAGTATCCCAATAACTCAGTGGCTCTCTTTTCTATCACTGCTACCAAGGGCTTTATCTCAGTGGGAAAACGCTTCTGCCTCTGTCCTGTAGTCATTTTGCTTTCTTTTAGTATCTTTGTTGGTGCTGAGGAGCCCAAAGGAACCAGTAAACAGAAGAGGAAGATGGCAAAGCTGTTGATTTCTGCATTCAGATGGAGAGTCAAAAGGAAAAAGAAAAGAAAGAATACAATGATGGGTCTGAACCCTCCGCAGAATTTTTGCAAAACTTTCTGGGTTTGTGCAGCATGATACATTTTCAAAGCATGAAGTTGCTGAGCTAGTGATGAACATGAACCAGTGCACCTCGACAATGTGGAGCAAGGGTAAGGCAGACCCACCTGCTCGGCGTTCCATGGTGGGCCGGGAGAGCTGCTGGCTGGGAGCTGGTGCTGGAGCTGCTGGTGCCTGCAGTGCTGGGTTGGGCCCAGCCAGGCTGCATTTAAGCACCCCCGAGTCCTGCGTCAGTGGCTCTCACAGGATTTTTTTTTTTATTTTTTTTTTTTGCCGGTGATAGTTCGGGGTTTTTTCCCTTTTCAAAAGATTACATCAAAAGTTGGTTCAAGTGCGTCTTCGCTGATTGTGATCTAGGTGCAGTTTCCATAGACATAGGTGGTGTCCTGTGTCGTCTGTTTGATGAGGAGTTTGGGATGCTTGGGTTAGCCATCCCATCAAAATCCTTGGGCTCTCCAAAATGTAGGACTTAGGATATAAACTCTGTTGTGCTTTTAATATAGACGTGGTTGGGGCTTGCAAGCACATTATTGTTGCCCAAAGCCAGCGACCTTCTCCTGCAGGGTCAGTGTAAGAAAAAAAAAAAAGCCACAGGAGGCTTGTGTGCAAGGTAGATCAGGCCTCCAGTTCAGTGTATAAATCCTTCTGCTGCATGTCTGGAAGACCATTCCCCAAGGTAGGACCCTCTCACGTAACCAGCAGAGGATGCCCAGGATCACACCTTCCCATCCCTGTCACCCATCTCTCTAACTCCCCTGAGGTTATTTTCTGTTTCCTGTAACTAAATGCAGGAAATTCTCATACACACCAAAACAGAGGAAATTTATCCCTAGGGTTTGCAAGCATGAGCTCAAGAGAGCAGAACTACTGATGGTTTGGGACAGAAAACAGAGCAGAGGAAACCCACATCTGTGACACATCTACACTTGTGGATGCTGTACTTCCCACCTCTGTAATTACAGGTGTGGTGAAAGGTGATCATAAGTTCAAAAATGAGTGTATGTCAAGTCACCAGAAGGCTTTCAAGGATCAACATCTTGGTATCCAAGTAATCAGTTCTGGTTTCCATGTGAAACAGTCCTCTCTGAAAATAAAAAGCTTGGTGTGTGCATGAACTCCTTCGAAGTGACTGGAACTGGTTCAAGGACTGTTCTCTGGGATGAACTGATTCCCAAGGCTTGAAATGGGAAAGGACGTTTCCCCTGTACAACTCTGCACTCAGGTCCCACCAGCCTGTAACTTCAGCCCTTGGTTGTTTGGAGGCCACATCAAAGGAGAGTCCCAAACTGAAGGTGGTTCTGAGGGAGCACTGAGAGCCAAGCAGCCATCTAGGAAGCTCTTCTTGCACAACCCTATTCCCAGGTGCTAAATAATCCAAAGAAAGAGATGAGTTACCGTGACCTGTGCATGGGGCAGCACACAGGACAGCAGAGTGCTGAGGGAGAGCTAGAAAAGGACAGTTCTAGAAGGTATTTAATTTATTTGAGATTTTTATTATTATTTGGGGGTAAAATGAGGGAGAAAGAGAAAGAGAGATGTTTCTTTGTGCAGGGCATTCTTTAGGAACATCCCTACAAAGATAGTGGTGGGTGCAGATGGCTCCTTTCAGGTAGAAGGGTGATCTTGAAGGGTTGCTTGTTTGGAAGCACCAAAAAAGCAGAGAGATGCAGCCGGCCAGTGCCCCACAGGACGATGAGTGGAAGGTGCACGAGCTTGTACATAAAGAGGTCATTGGGCACTGCCAGTCCCCTTCCAGCTCTCCCAGATGAGTATAGCCAGGGAGGATGGACAAGGAAGCTGGTCTTCCTCTGAGAGCAGGAATATCTCTTTGTGCAGCACTGAAGGCAATGGGGGCAGTTATTTTAAATAGTGATGCAAATGAAAGAAGCAGCACTTTTACATCCTTGCTTTTCCACGAAACACAGTTCAACTGCTGCTAATGGTCTTTCAGAGATTTTTAGATTTGACTTCGTCTTCTCCTAAGATGAGGACAGCAGGTTGCCTGGTTGTTCCACTCCAGGCAATGCCACCATCTCTTAGCCTGTGCGTGCTCTGTTCATCCTTTCCTGTCCGTACACGGCTGTGATAAGCTGCTGAGCTGATAAGGCAACAGGTCAGCATCCGTCCTGTGAAACCCAACCTGAGAAATTCAGCTTTCCATCACGCAACCATGAGACATCACATAAAATCTGCAATTCATTTGGTGAAGTTCTGCTGACACATGCTGCTGTCAGCTCCCTAAAATGGAATTTGTAGCCATTGCCTCAACACCTATCACCGGAAAAAGGAAATCAGTCTCAGAGCACAGAGACCTGATGCTGACCTGAGACTGAGCTGTGGCTTTTGTTCCTGGAGCTCACCTATTTTTTTCCAAGTGTGGGAGCTGGTACTTTCAACTGTGAACTTTGTTTTCTGATGGCCTTATGTGGCTGTGATGTCAGTGCCCTCCACATGAGTGAAGAGCTGGGCTTTCACAGCTGACTGGGAACCTCCCTGTTTCTTCCCCAGAACCTGAGTGACTCTCAGGATATAGGTAAGTGAAATGGCAAATGCCATGTCACGGTTTCTTGGCCAGGGAAGAAGGCTGCTGATGTACCCTGCAAGCACTGCACAAGGCCCCTGGTTGGGAGCAGCCCCCAGAACCTGGGGAAGATCTGGAGAAACAGGGATTTACTCCCAGCCTGGTGAGCTCAGTGCTGTCCCAGGCTCGCTCCACGCTCAGCTTGGAGAGTTTGTTTGGTGCTCGGTTCCATGGCATCCGCGTCACCAACATCTCCTAGCGACAGGGAACAAGTCCCTGAGGCAGGAATTCCTGGTCAGGCCAGGCTGGATGGCAGCACCTGGCTGCTGCAGCCTCTCGGCTACTTTTCAGGAGTACTTGCGGCACCTGGCGCTGCAGGACTTCCCCTGTGGCCTTGGCAGCTGGGTAGGGACAGGGTGGCACAGCCATGGGACGTGGCACAGGGCCTGTGGGCTGCAGGGCTGTCACTGCCTCTCTCCTCTCTGCAGAACAAATCCTGCCTCAGTGGCCACAGGAGCCCCCGCAGGGTCCAGCCCGGGCAGGAGGAGGCTGTGCTGGATGAGGAGACCCCCGAGGCGCTGCTGGAGCTGCTGAGGGACCAGCACAGCCCCTGGGCACTGCCCCAGGACTGCAGTCCCCAGGACCAGCTCCTGAAGGAGATGGCCGTGCTGGCACCAGAGCTTGTCCATGGCTCCAAAGTCTACCAGGTCCTCAAGTCCCTGCGGATGGTTGACAAGGGAGTAAGTGCAGCTGCTTGTGCCTGTAAAGGTGTAGGCCAGGAAACCACGTCTGCCTGCTGGGAGGGAAAACGTCCTGGGAAAAAGGACACCTTCCCCATCCCACGGTCTTCCCAGATGCCACTGTTGCTGCTGGGGTAGAGGTACTCCCCCCACCCTCCCCAGGATGTTGTGCTAATCTGGATTACACGTATGTCATCTGGATGAACGCATGTCTGTGTCTCCTTGGCCATGAGGTGACTCAGGAAATGTTGGCCAAACCCAGCTCTTTGCAGGTGGAGGAGGTCGATGAGGGTGTGTTGCAGTTCCAGCAGCTGGAGGAGCTCATCCTCAGTGCCAACCAGATCAGCAGGATCACCTCGGCCAACCTGCCCCGGACACTGAAGGTGAGTGAGCAGCATCTCGTGCAGGATGGGGAAGGAGGTCCCATCTGGGAACACAGTGCAAGCCAAACAGCTCTAGGGGTGCCAGGAACAGCTCATTGCAAAGGTGTCTGTTGGTTCCTCTGTCCTGGGCAGGTCCTGGAGCTCTGCTGCAACACTGTGGGCGATCTGGAGGACCTGTGCTCTCAGCCTCCTCCAGAGCTCCAGCACTTGGGGCTGGGACACAACAGGCTGTGCGGCCCTTCCCAGGACAAGTTCCTCACTGAGGATTTCTGGTAATGCCATAGACTGTGGGCTCCTGAAAGGGAGGTGGGCAGATGGAAAGGTGACCTCAAGCCATCAAGGTGGCCTTGGGAAGATGCAGCCCTTCAGCAGGGTCATTGCTTTGCCCTGTCCACTCCCTGTGCAGAGCAGTCTGTGTCTGCTCTCACATGCTCAGTGGTTGTCTTGGTCCATGGCCAAGGTGTGGAATGGGGAGATCACCTGGAAAACAGTCTTGACACCCTACCCACCACAGTTCCCATTTCCTGGGCAGCTTCCTTTTTCCATGTCCTCCCCAAAGCCCTTGCTGGGACTCTGCCCAGGGAAAAATCTAAAGCTTAGGCTGCATCACCAAATAATGCAGTGGGGTCATTAATGTTTCCTTGGCATGTTTTTGAGTGGTGGGGGAGGCTGGCAATGGACCATATGGCTCAGGAATTTGTAATTGGCCTCTTGGGATTGTACCATTGGATTCCCCAGTTTGACCCTGTTTGCGCTGAGGAAACACCATTTTTGTTTCTGTTTTTGCCCCAGGGCAGTAGCTCCCTATCCTCAGATAGGTGCTTGTTGCCTTACCTTCTTCCCTGGGTTCTCTCCTTAGGCCAAACCTTGTCTCCCTTGACCTGAGCTTTAACAACCTCACGGATCTGCTGGGGCTGGTCTCCCAACTGTCCAGTCTGCAGAAGCTCCGCATCCTGGTGCTCCAAGGGAACCCCCTGGCTTTCATCCCCACCTACAGAGGCTTCCTCGTGGACAGCCTGCCCAAGCTGTCCCTCCTCGATGACATCTACATAGGGCCTGATGAGAGGCAGCAGTTCCATGGCTTGGCAAGGCAGCCAGGTGAGTCCTCACCTTTGAACCTGACCCTGGCATTCAGGAGGGGGTTTCATCGTGGTTGAGCTCAGGGTCCTCAGGGCAAACTCTGCCTTCCTTGTTGCCTCTCCTCAAATGGAGATCCTTCTCTGTGCCTTTCTACCCTGCTAGTACAAGTGGGGAGACAGGCAGAGGGCCCTGCAGTGGTATAATTACAGTTGAGGTAGTTTTAGCCTTAGTCAGGCCCAAGAAAAGGCCACCCTAGTCCTAGAACTGCCTCTGCATCCTGGCCTGCCCCCAGCTTTGCTTCCCAGACACCATCTGGTTTCAGACCCTGTGCTTCCCTCTGGAGCTGGTGAAAGAGGAACATCTGTACTGGGGAAGGTGGTCCTGTGGTGCTGCGCTGTCTGCACGCAGTGGTGCCACCTCTGCAGTGTGGGACTGGGACTGGAGCAGGGGGCTGGGGACACCCGGGCTGGGAAGCCCCTCTTGACAGCCCTTACTCAGTGAGTTTTGTGCTGGATGTGCTCTTTGGAGACTAAAATGTTAACCGGGGAGGCAGAGCAGCCAAGCCAGGAGGTGTTTGCATAGCTTTGGAGTGACCCCACGTGGCAGTGGCTTGTCACAGCGTTAGCACAGGGTGGCACGGAGGGGACACTGCAACCGGGAGGTTTCTGCTTGCTCTTTTCCTTCCTCACTCTGGAAAGAACGTGCTGCAGCTCCATGGCAAGATTGTCTGTCTTTTAGAACTAAGCAGGAGTGAAGCTCGAGTGGTTGTGACTGTTGGGGAGATGAAGGGAGTCCCTGATCCCAGTGCTCTCCAGCAGCTGGATGTTGACTCAGAGGCCCCAGTGATCACCTGCAGCTACTTTGTCACCTACGAGTTTGCAGAGGGAGAGGAGCTCGAGTATGAGAGCAACACTGAGGTTGGTCCTTAATTGTGCTCCTGAAAGCCAACAGGCATAGGAGATCACAGCAAGGGAGAATCTATCTCCAGGCTATGGAGTGATGGATGTGGCAGGGGTAGCAGCAGTACTGGGGACAGAATTCCCATGGGGCTGCATCTGGCAGGACAAGCCCCTGCTGCCCATGTTCCCTGTCCGTCTTGGGGAGCCCAGAGCTCTGCACATGGGAATGCTCTCATAGCCCCCCTCCTGCTGGCTGTGGCAGACCCCTTCCCTGACACTGGTGCACTTTTTTCCCATGAGGGTGGGCTGGGGAATGGCATTTCAGGGGCAGCTGTCCCCTGGTCCCAGTGCAAACAAAACCAGACATGCCCTACCAAGAGATCCCTCTCTGTCCCAGGTAACAAAAACCCACCAGAGTTCCATGGTGACCATGCTGGATGTGGACAGCTCTGCTCAGGACACAGGAGAAACAAAGAACCAGCAGGACCCTGCAGCCATGGAGGAGCCAAAGACTCGCTCTGGTAATGAGGAATTGTAAATCCCCTGTCCCAGCACTCAGGGCAAGTTTATGGGTCTTCCTGGCACGTGGTGGCATCAGCACGTCCCTCGCAGTGTCAGCTTGGGACTGATGGATAATGAACTGGCACCAGTCGAAGGAAAGGTCTCCTCAGAACTTTTTTGTGTCCCTACACAGCAAAGGTGTTTGCCACCCCTGGAAAGCCCTGGGCAGACACCATCGACTGCAGCTACATGAAGGAGCACATTACCAAGGACTTGGTGGGGCTGAAGTCCTACCTGGCAGCGGGAACAATTGTGTCGGTTGTGGAGGAGAAGGTGAGTGTGTGGCAGAGCTGGATGAAGGGGAAAGTGCTGCTGGGAGGCCCAGCAGTGGTATCATGTTCCCTCTGGGAGGCAGGCTGGGATGGCAGTGACCCTGGGCCCTCCCAGCCCCTGCAGCAGCAGCTCCTCTCTCTGGGTAGGTGCTCTCATGGCCTGTAGATGCTGACCCAGAAGAAAACTCAGTCATGAATAAGAAGGAAGGACAGGACAGTGCCAAGGTAGGGTGCTAGGAGAGAACAATGGCCAAATTATATCTGAGTTGCAAAAATGGTGATAAGAGAACAAGGGCCCTCCTCCTGGATTAGTTTGGTGTGTCAGAGAGTCATCCCTCCATCCCAGACCTCTCCCAAAGTCCCCCCTTGCCAATGGAGGAAGGCAGCAGCTGTTTACACACATCTTGGCCTGGATGCAGTGGTGGGCAAGGGGCTGGGTTGGGGTTGCTTCTCTCTGATAAAGGGACTCCCATCCCTCTGCTGAGGCCTGTCCCTGTGCTGGTGTTTTGCAGCCTCCTGCCTCCAAGGACAAGAAAAAGAAGCAGCAGCAGCAGCTGCCACGTGAACTCCGCAGTGACCCTCCCATTCTGAGCACCCTGGGCACCACCAGGGTGACCTTGGAGGCCCTGCTGGCCACCGAGGACCTGGTGGCAACTGTGTGTGACTTTGGGATCCTGATCACTGAGAAACCACCAGAATCACCAGTTCCAGAGGAGAAGGTAAGGAACATGTCCTTGGACAGGGGGGTGAGGCAGGGCTGCCAGGGGCAGGCAGTGCTGCAGGCTGGGGTTCAGCATGTCCTGCCCTGTAGCCTGCTCTGTCCTCACTGGCCTGGGCATCCCATCCATCCATCCATCCATCCATCCCTCCATCCCTCAGTTCTCCCCTCCCTAAAATAGGGCTGAAATAGCCCTGCCTAACCACCATCCATCCCTGCTGGCATGGTTATTTAACTGATATTAGCAAGCAATACTACTGCTTTTTATAGGCTTAGGAAAATATATGAGTTTATTTTTCCATTTGAGAATGTGAAAGCAACCACTCGTGGTTCCTCTGGTGCTCTCTTTCAGCATGGCAGCACATACCAGCTGTGCCAACAGTTTCTATTTCCTGGATTCTCTTCTCAGAGCAGCCACTCTGCTGTGCTCCTGCTCCCCCTCACCTCTTTCCTCTGCCCTGTATATCCCAGTGACAGCACCCCAATGGTGATGGGTATCACAGGACTGAATGAGGGCATTGGATTTCAACACAGCCTAACTGTGGAAATGTCTCTCTCCACAGGATGAGAAAAAAGGCAAAGACAAGAGCAAAAAAACAAAAGAAGAAGGTAGGGCCGGCCAGAAAACTCTGACGTCTCCCAAAGGTGATGGAGCCTTGAGCTGGTGGGGGAGAGGGTGGTGTGTGTGAGAGCAAACAGGAGCAGTGCCCAGCCAGAGGCAGCCACAGGGCACAGCCACCCTGGCAGGAGCAGGGACTTACATCCTGAGCCTCAGGCTGTGAATGCAGACATTGACTGTGGGGCCGTCAGGATGGACACACGCCTGGACTTATGAATCAGTGTCTGAACAAGGACCAAGGCTGGGCTGCTGGCTGCCCTGGGAGAGACACACACCCACCAGCACTGTGTGCCAGGGGAGAAGGGCACAGCAGATTTCTGGGTGAGAAATGTGCTGCCCTCTGTGTCGGCTGCCAAATGGGGACAGTGCGAGGGCTGGCATGGGCAGCAGGGGGAGGGCTGCCTGGGATGCATGATAAGCTCCTCATCCATTTCCAACTCACATCTCAAAGCACTTTGCAGAGGGGATTATTGTTCTATCTGGCTTGGAGATGAGCTGCACAGAGAGCCCCAGGTGTCCCATGGCAGGGCTGGGAACAGACCCCAGTCTGCTGTTACCCATGAAGGGACCACCCTGACCCCAACGGGTGTCCCCTGCCTCCCCATAGAGAGCTCACAGGCTGCTCAGCCAGCAGTGTTGCTTAATCCACTGGAGACAAAACTCACCCTGCCTCTTGCAGGTTATTTTTCCTTGGTTTTGACTGCAAAAATAGCAGTGACAGCACATCGGAGGGGTAATGCAAGAGCAGGAGGAAGTGGGGGAGGGAAGGGGTGGTCAGGCAATGCTGAAAAGCTGCTGCTCATGGGTCAGTGAGAGCGTGGAGAGGGCCAGGCCTCCCCAGCACCACTCAGAGCTACCAAAGGAGCTCTGTTTCCCTGCTCTGGAATCAGATTTAAGAGTGCAATTAACCCCCTTTCCCAAGAGCTCTAGGCTGATTTCTGTGCCCCATCACCCACAGCAAGGTCCCCATCTTTGGGGAAGATCTCAGAGCCCTGTAGTGTCTGCACTAGAGGAAGCCTGTGGCCTTCCCAGCTACCTGAAAAGAAGAAAAGTCCTTGAATTATTGTTCCCCACAAGATATATATTTGCAATATACACTCAGACTGTTGCTGAAGCAGAGCAGGCAGCTGCTGTCGAACAGCTGAAGCTCAGCACTGGTGTTTCTTCCTTCCTCCACCCCAGTCCTGCAGTCACTAGGAGGTTTTCCTTTCAGCTTGAACGAGGGTGAACCCTTTCTGTGGGGGTTGTGTGGCCGGAGATGGTGTTGGATGCATAGAAGCTGACACAGGAAGCCCAGAGCGATTAGAGGCTCCTGCTTAATTTGGTGTCCCCCTGTGCCTGTGCAGGTGGAGGCCGGTTGGCTGCACTGCAGGGCCACCGAGTTCATGTTTCAAAGTGTGAATGCAAAATTCACAGTGCCTAAAAATGAGCTGCCCCCCACAGCTTGCTACACCCTGTGTGCTGTGGCCACGTGCTCCGATGTGACTCACAGGAGCACCCCGATTGCGGCTGGGGTGGGCAGCTCGAGCACCTCTGCACATCCCGGATGTGTCTGCACCTCCTGCCTGCTCTGTGAGTCACCAGGTTGCACCGTGGCTCATCCCCTGGACACCACGTACCACCCTGGAGCGGCAGCAGTGGCCACACTCCGAGGGACGGGGACGGCTCCCAGCGCCGTGTCCAGCAAGCTGTGCAGGGACCAGCTCTCTCCCAGCCGGGAGCTGAGGCTGATTTGCATCCCGCAGTCAGCAAATGCACACAAATAATAAGTCCTCTCAGAGGAATTGGGATCATTTCCAGATGGCTCAAAGAGGAAAGGCAGCGAGCTTTGTCTCAAGTGAACAGTTTGCCCAGACATTGAAGGATGTCTTCAGAAGTAGTCTCACGTACGTCTCGTTTTACCTCGCACTCGATTTTCTAGGATCCTTGAAATTGTTTATTTCTGCATCTTTCTTTTGTCCTAGGGGAGTTTAACAACACATAAGTAGCTTGCACCCAGATCAGTTGCCTGCCTAAAGATGCTTTTTGGGCTTCTTACCCGAAGTCATATTCAAATAGATTTCCCTTAAGTGCTGACACCAGGGGCAGTCCCCCTGCACGCTGCTGCTTTCAGGGTGATTTACTATCTCAAGACAGTGACAGATTTACTTCTTTCCACAGGAAAAGGAAAAAACAAAGACACTGCTGAGCTGGAGGAAGGTCAAGAGCTCCAGCCGGTGCCACTGACAGTTCAATTCCAGATGCAGCTGCTTCGGTGGCCCTTGGCAGTCAGTGCCCAGAGCCAGGAGAACGAGGCCGTGGCAGTGGAGAAAACCCAGTAACGTGTCCATAGCCGGGTGAGAAATAAACCACACGGGAACGCTGCGTGGATCCTGGTTGAGCCGAATCGCCAGAGCTGGGAGATCCCTCTGGGTTTGTGGTGGTCTGGGGCTGCTGCTGAGCTTCTGCCGGAGCTGCGGTGGGCAGGGGCTGGTGCGGGGTGTGGAGTGCGAAGTGTAGGTAAGGGGGTGTGTTCGGGGTGTAGGGTGGGTGTGCGGTGCCCGGTGCCCGGTGTGCGGTGCCCGGGACACGCTGCCCAGTGCCAGCCCCCCGCATCCTCCGCCCACGGGTGGGGGCCGGCAGGGGCGGAGCGGGGCGGGGCAGCCCCGGTGAGGCGGCGGCGGCTCCGCAGAGCGAGGTGGGGGTTTGGCCGTGCCGGGGGCACCGCGGAGCGGCGGCTCCAGCCCGGTCTGCGGGGCCGGGGGCTCCGGAGCGGCCGCAGCGCTCCCGCCCTCGCCGGCGGCACTGGGACCCAGCGAGGGGAAACACGGAGCCCCGTCCGGGGGGAACGACCGGCGCGTCCCGTCCGCGCCCGCGGAGACCCCGGGAGCGAAGGGCTCGTGTTCCTCTGCCCAGGGCCGGTCCGTGCCGCAGGCTGCCATGTATCCCAGGATCAGGAACCTCGCCCTTTACACCTTCTCCATCACGCTGCTCGCCTGCGTGTTTTACTTGAGGAAAGAGGCAAAGTTGGCGGAATCGTCAGCGGACCAGAAAATGGATGTAGTGAGTCACAAACCGAAGTCTTTGGTTCTGGACAACGCTGAACCCACCAAGTGTTTGCCGAACTTGACCCTCGCCAATTCCTCTCTCGCTCTCCCGGAGCTTCACCGCGTCTTCTTAACGTACAAGCACTGCCGGAGCTTCCCAGTCCTGCTGAAGCCTCCCAGGTGTAGCAAAGAGCTGTTCCTCTTGCTGGCCATCAAGTCTTCCCCGATCAACGTGGACCAGAGGGTGGCAATCAGGAACACGTGGGGAAAGGAGGTCTCTATCAGGGGCAAGAACGTCAGGCTGGTGTTCCTTCTGGGGCGCTCAGAGGCCAAAATCCAGGTGCCGCCCCTGCACCAGCTGCTGGCTTATGAGAGCCAGGAGTTTGGTGACATCTTGCAGTGGGATTTCATTGACAACTTCTTCAACTTGACTCTCAAGGAGCTGCATTTCCTCCGCTGGTACATGGAGGACTGTCTGCACGCCAGGTTTGTGCTGAAGGGCGATGATGACGTGTTTGTCAACACTTACAACATCATCGAGTTCCTCCAAGACTTTGGCCCTGAACAGGATCTCTTTGTTGGGGATGTGATAGCCAATGCCCGGCCCATCAGGAACACCAAGGTCAAATACTTTGTTCCAGAGGCCATGTATGGAGCCTCCTTCTATCCTCGCTATGCAGGAGGAGGGGGGTATGTGATGTCTAGAGAGACAGTGCGTCGCCTCCAGAGCACCGCAGAGGGCACGGAGCTCTTCCCGATAGATGATGTGTTTGTGGGAATGTGTCTGGCGAAGATGTCCGTGACCCCAAAGAACCACCCTGGCTTTAAGACTTTTGGGATCCAGAGACCTTTCAATGCTTTTGATCCATGCTTGTACAAAGGGCTGATGATTGTGCACAAACTCAACCCCACGGAGATGTGGATCATGTGGACCCTGGTGAGGGACGACAGCATTCGGTGTGCAATGTCGGTGGAAAAGAAGCTCCCGCTGAGCCCAGCAGGGTTGTGACTGGTAGCAGACACAGAGTACTAAACTAAAAATCAGGTTGTGGTAGAACCATGTCCGTTACTAACAGACTGCGCTGGAGCCGTCAGGGTTTGGTTTGCAGTGAGTCATTTTCTGTTGGGGGGTTACGTGAAGCAGCTGAATTGTCACAGGGTGGGGGTGGTGAGACACAGCACCGGGGGACTTGGCTCAGCTCTTCCCAGCTGGATGGGAGCCAGGGGAAGTCACAACTGCCATGGGAATGTGAGTGAGGGGCCACCTGCTATGGAGGCTCCACAACACCGGTGTCTGACCGCCGGCCAAATTCAGGCTCATGTAGGGAGGCCAGTGATGACTAACGAGTGACAGAGCACATGAAATTACTTGAAGGGGTGGAAGGAAGGCCAGTGTGTGCTGCTTGGTCCACTGTCCAGGGCAGCAATCCCACAGCTTCTGCTGGACAGCAGGAGAAAGGGAGTGGAGTGGGTAAGAAAAATCCTCAAAAATATATTGCCTTAACACAGCAATGATGATGATCCAAGGGACTGGGCTCTGACTCAAGCCTTTTGGTCATTATAGGTTTACTTGCACTGGAAACTTTTGCACAAAGACTTTCTGATCAGGTGTGAGAGGAGCAATGTATCATGAATAATCACAGTGGTAGGAAGAGTGGCTGTAGTGTCTCATGTTGTGTGGGAGGTGTTTGTTTTTTTGTTGTTGTAAAGGTGGGTACAAATAAAATACAGTTTTGAAAAGTGTTTTCACAGGAATATTCTTGGGTCTCCTGAAAGCTAAGAGCCCTAAAAGCCAGGGAAGGCTGAGATCTGGTGCTGGGTGTTTGCATTCAGGAGTCATTATGTGGAAATGGGTATTTGCCACTTCCTTTCCTGTGAGCAGCTGCTGGTCTTTGCCCTGTCAAGATGCATTGATATGAAAGTGATTAATCTGAATGTGCTGGAGCTGCTAATTTGAGGAAAGATCAAATATGGAACTAAGATTTGGTGATACTTTTGTGAAACTTCTCAGTGCCAGGGTGTCTTGCTGCTAGAGCAGAATTGCTCTGCTGTGTGTGTGAGCAAGGATGCAGCCTGGAAGCTTTAGGAAAAAAATATAGTGGGTGGAGAGGAAGTATGTGATTACAGAAGCCAGAGCCATTTGTGTTGTGCTGTTGTAATTGCTGTCTCCAGTGCCAGCTGCCCAGTGTTCACCCCACCAGCTGGGAGCTGGAGCTTTCAGAGGTGCCTGGGAAGTGCATCCAGGAGGTTTTTGCTTGTAGGACAGACAGGGGCTGCTGCTTGTCCTGGAGAAGAGATCGGGCAGGGCGGGTACCGTGGTGCCCTGGGAGCTGCTGTGCCAGCATTTTTCTGATCCACTCAATGATTCCCAGTGCAAACTCAGGAACAGAGAGCGTGATGTCATGTCTGTTGTGGGTTTAGGTGTATGGGATAATCCCCAGCTGGCAGCTCTCACTTCCTAATAAAGGGTGAGGGACTCCCTTCTGCCCTGTTTTGGAGGTGATGTGGAGCCATTCCATGCTCCTCACTCCCACTTTGACTGACTGGCTGGTTCCTGTCATGTCAGGTTGGATGTGTGTGGGAACAGCTCTTGGGAAGAGCAGGGCATGCAGTGAAACGAGAAGTGGGGTGACAACAGGGCTGGGAGCAGGCTCTGAAAAAAAGGGGAAGAGGTTGTTTCCTGGCTTTGCTGACTCCTGGCAGTGCTCATCTGCCTTAAGCCCTGTCTCTGCCACGCAAACATCAGAGTGGAGTTACTGTGGCACCCTGAAAAAACAACTTGTGTGTGCACCAGGGTCAGGGGCTTGGCAGATGTTCTCCAACTGCAGCAGGTACCAAATGAGAGCAGTTGTGGTTAGAGGCTGACCTGAGGGTGCATTTGGCTCCTGAGGCCTTGGCTGTGCCACTGCTCAAATAATCCTCTCGTCATAGTGGCTTTTTTCCTCATGCTCCCACCCAAAGCTGAGTTTGGGGCCTCCTGGCAGATCAGACACTGGCAGCTCCCTGTGAGCTGAATTCCAGACTGTGCCATCCTCCCTGGATACAGCAGCACCCAGTGAGCAGCAAGGAAAGGTGGTTTGTTAATTCTTTTACTACTTAATCTATAAATGTACAGTGCTGTGCAGCTGAGATTGCATTTGTTCCAAAGGCAGGCAAAATGAGACAATCTATGCTACAGAAAATTCCTCCTCAATTTAGTAACAGCCACCTTGATGCAGTGCATCAGATGGTAATTTGTTGTGAAAAACCTGTGAATAATGGGTGTTTTTTACAAAACCTGATTCCAGTCAGCAGTGATAAAGTTCTAGTGGATGCTGTTCTGCAAAACCAATTTCACATTAGCTGTGAAGTTAGAAAATGAGCACAGTGAAAGACATCTGTGGTTTTAAAATCTGAAGTGAAACATTAAGTTTGTGAAAGAGAGAATTCAGATTATTTCCTGAAGCTCAAAAGCATTCAAATAGGTAAAACTCTTTTACTCGCTGCCTTGTAAAGAAGTCCACGGCAGTTGCCAAAATAGTTTTGTTTATAACCACATTATCTTGAAAATCAAACCTCCTTTTGCTTCCTGAGGAACCTCCCGAGGTGTGGTGACTCTTTGGTGACAGAGGATGCTGTGCTGAACTGCAAAACTTCACCAAGAGGCTGAGTAAGTCCATGGAAAGTTCTCAGCTCTACAGCAAATATTTCCCCTGACTGCAGCTCAGTGGAATTTGGTGCAGCTGTCAACTCAGACGTTAAAAACTTTGAAGTTCAAACAGAAAACAGGGCTTAATCTCTCACCCAAATGGGCACCTTCACAATGAGATGCTTTTGCACAGTTTAATAAAGGCATCTCCTCACACACATCATTTACTTCACAGGTTAAAAACAAGGTTCTTTAAATACACTTCTTTGGCTGATCCCTAATGAGCTCCCACAGACACATCAAACTTCCCAGCAGAGACACAATTAACACCAGGCTGTCCTTGATAGCAGTCTTCACATTTGCATAGATAAACGTTTAAATAAATGAATCCAAAAGTATGACAAACAAGGTAAGTTACAAACAAAATGGAGGCCTTCCAAATACCTGGAAGTGACTTGATTTCTACAGCAATCCTGCTTGGGGAAAAAAATGGAATCACGGGCTTATTTCAGCAGTTTTAGACTATCCCACACAAAAGTTTGGGACTGTTCAATTTGTGATTGACTCCCAGATATGCTACAGTTCAGTTCTGTTCAGTCCTCCCGAAGGTAAGGGTCATCACCTGCATCTATATTTCCTAAAATACCCTGTGGCAACAAAGATTCCTCTCCTTGAGCTTTTATGAGCTCCTCTGTTTGAGCTTCAGCTAATTTGGTCTCTGCTTTCTGGGACAGCTGCTTCACTTCTTGTACCTGTGACTTCACGAGCTGGATGTGGCTGCGGGCTGTCACCGAGGCCTGGTCTGCTCCTGGGGGTAAGA